GCGGTTACTGCTAGGCATCATCTCTGACTTTGGATCTTTCTTTGGGTCCTGTCATCTCTATCTAGTTTCAGCCAGTGCCTTGCAAGCAACATCTGTTCTCAAGTAGGGAAGTCTTGCTGTCCCCATTTTACAGATGGGCTTTTGAGAGACAGGAGGAATAAAGCCAAATGCTTCAGAGATATTTAGTGGAGGTTAAGTGCTGAATTTCCTTTGAAGGTCTAAACCCAAATGACAAGCTTGTGATCATGCAGGAGATTTGTATCACCCATGGGAGCGGAACCATTTTTTCAGGGTAGTATCATAACCACTGCACAATCCTTCCTCTTTCTTCTGCCTAAAGCTCCCACTGACTTCAAAGGTGAAGAATTATGGTCTGTGTTCCACAGCACTGTGAACTCATATGTATGTGCAGAGCTTTAGCCACACATATATTCCATCAGGGATACTGACTCAAGTAAAATTAAAGGCAGTATGTGTGTGGGGGTAATTTCTGCAAGACTGGGACTTTACTCCTTTTCTTTTCCCATATTCTCTTCTCTTCTCTGCCTTAAAAGCTTGACGTACATCATAATGCAGGACGTACATCATAAAACCAAGGCTGACGCCTAAAGATTGAGTTTGGGGTCAGTCTCTATTGTCCATAGGAGAGCCATAGCCAAAGGTAAAGGGGAATACGATGGCGTTTTGTTGGACTGCTTTAAAAAGAAAAGTCCAATTCAGTAAAACAAAATATTTTTTCTTCTGAATGCCTCTGAATGAAACATATTGTTGAGTTTTCGTGGGAAATATGTATAGTGTGAGATATACATCGATGCAGTTGGTTGAATTCTCGGAAAGGTGAATGGTTTGCAGAGACTGGACAAATTGAATGTATTTATCTTTTTGTCAGGTGTATCCACTGCAAAGTAAGCACACCCCAGAAGATGAATAGCACTGTGTATTTCTGCTCATCTAACTGCTGCTTTTCTAGATGAGCAGCAAAATTAGAAATTGGCATATTTCATATATTCAGTATTTCAATATTTCAGTATTTCCATCATCTGTCTCTTTACAGAACCATTTGAATACTGGTAGCAGTAGTCAGTTGTTATCTCTGCGGTGGTCAGTCCCTCACACGTTGACACACTGAATGTCTCATCCTTTCACTGTCAGTATAGAAATGGCAAATAACTATCTTTAAATATTAAAATTATGAATTTTTATACTGAATTGAGACAAAAATCTTTGATGAAATAGAAGAAGGAAGTTGTACCTTTTGGTGTGTTCTTCAGCCCATCCCTTTCAATCAACAGATTTCCTTTTCTCCCAAAAGAGAACATACCAAAAAAACCCACCTTAAATCCTGGCTGCAGTTAACAGCTTCCTAATTGCTTGTGACTGTTTCTTGACTTTCTGATCCCTGTCTGGTGGTTAAGAATCCAAAAGGTTTCTTAAATCAACAGGAGCAGCTGCCTCCTGGAAGTCAGGCATGGTGTATGTCACGCACTGTGGAAAGGAGCTGAGATACAGGGAAGAGCAGAGGTGATTAATGGGGCTGATGTCGTAGCTCAGAGTGTGGTTGCACTACTGTGTACAGCTATACTTATTCCAGTCATTTATCTTCTGTCTCTGCCGCACACACACAAACATGCATACGCACTGTCGTCTTTGCCTGTGATGGCGCAGTCATTAGAAACACAAGAACGTACAAGGTGCAGAGGGATCTGTAGATGATGATGTGTCTCTAGAGGTGATTACTTCTCTCCTCTTGTTTTTTGGACATGCCTGAGAAATGCTGACAAAACGCAGTCCCTGGTTTGAAATTTTTCTCTCTGCTCTTAGCAAACTCATTCCCACAGAGGGGAAAGAAAGTAAAGGAAAACAAAGGAAGGAAATGACTCCATTTTGTGGACTACATTTTAATTTAGATGAGGAAGGGGAACAAGCTGGGAACACACTGTGGATTGAGTGTGGACATAGGGTCATAAGTTGATGGAGTTGCACGAGCTGAAGCAAAGTGTGTGCCTTCTTGGCAAAGACTCTTGCTTAAGGTCTGGACAAACTTATATCTCTGGGCTATTTAAATCTCCAGTGTTAGAGCTTTCACCTGGTTGGAGTGGGCTGCAAGAAGTCATTCCATTGTCCAACATTGCTACTTCTGCCTCGGATAAGAGCACGTTGTCCTTGTGGGCAATGCAGCACCTGTTTCCCCAGAAGCATCACAGGTGATTCAAGACCAGTCCCCCACCAGTGCCCAGCCTTCACTTCCCTTCAGCCAGAAGCAGGACAGAAGAGACTTCCCTTTTGTGGGTGTTGTACCATCAGATCTTCTCAAAAAATTTCATCTTCCCTTTCATTGTCCCAAAGGTCCCTGGATTCCTGGTTCAGCTACATCATCCGGCTACCTATTAACCCAGGATCTCAGTCCAAAGGAAATACAAAGGCTTGTGTTACCTATGTAGAACCGATTGATTCACAGCTTTACTTTACAGAGGTTATTGCAAGTGGAAAATGGCTACTCATTCCTCAAAATTTATCCCTTGGATAAAAATCTCCCTCTGCCTTTCACTAGAAATTAAAGCTGCTACATCCTTTGCTATCGTAGCTAGCAGCAGTTTTTTACCTTTCCAAATCCAGCAAGCTGTTCCTGCCTCCCTCTGAGACAAATGCATGTTCTTGTCAGACAGTGAGGCAGCTTTCTTCTCTACTAACAGGAAACTAGTGTCTCCAGTTGGTCTGGCTTAATGGGACTGTTATTATTTGCTGAGTGCTGGCAAAAGGCTAAACTGAGAACAAGGTGTAAAGTGCTTGCTTGCTCTGAGGAGTTTACAAGATATAATGGAGAAGCCAAACAATCCTGGAAAGCCCAGAGGAAGGAATGACTCAGGGTAATACAATGGATTCATTAAGGAGAGGCTCGCTGTGAGAAGTCTGGTGCTTTGGCAAAGCGGGTTGGGAAGTCATCATGTTCAGAGACTCAAAGGTCCATGTGGTCTGTGTGGCCCAATAGGCTAGAGCAATTAAAGCAGGGAGGTTTCTGTAGCCAGCAGCTTTAATACCAGCCAGCTATGATTCTCCAGCTCATGAAATTTGGTGCCCATTTCTAGCTGGAGTAACTGGGTGCAGTCTTTGATGTGAATCCAGAGCAAGGCCTAGCCTTTCCTTCTGAATACATGATGAGAAATCTCTGTCTCTCATATATTAGAAGAGATATAGCTGAGGCTGCAAAGAGAAAATTTCAGTGAGAGCTGCTGAGAAAATGAAAATTAGTTCTTTACCTATCTAAGACTTACTGAAAGCTTTGAGAGAGGCAATATGAGTAAAGATGATGGGAGGAGACAAAATTGTTTGTGACAAAATCATGTTAAGTAGAGTGTTAAAGTTGCTGTTATTGACTAAGCGGGAGGGTAAGGTGTGGACTGAAAAATTGAAGACTAAAGGTAGGATTCAGAAAAGGAGTACAGGAATTTGGTATAGTAGAAAACCAGAGAGTGAATAAAAAAAGGTAATAGAGTCTTTGCATCAAGTATTTCAGCACACTGAGTGAAGGATGTTCCCCTTATGGGCTGTGCATGCGATACCATTACCACTGACTCAGATTAACACTGGAAATCTGGCAGCTTTACGTGTACCCTGGGACTTGGAAGTCTGAATCTGTCTTTTGCAACTTTAAGCTGCCTTCCAGTGGTTAGGCAAAGCAAATCACAGGAAGGTGCTTGGGTCCTGTAAACAGTCATCAAACATTCCCCACCTACAGCATTTCTCACTGCAGGTCCCTTAGGCTACTGTATTCTCATGGTAGGCCTTAAACTCTCATCATGTCAAAACAAGTTGCCTATCTTAATATTCAGAGACTTGTGGCTTGTCTGCCCCTTATAGCTTTGTTCTTGCCTCATTCGTAGGTCTGCTCCCCTCACTAGAATAAGCCTTAGGGTTTTCACCTCTCTCCTGTGCTTACGAATGCCTCTCCCCACAAAAGGAGTGAATAGAGGAGCTATTCTTACAAAATTTCCTTCCTATCCTAGGAAATATCAGAACTATTCTAAGGATTTATGTGTAGTTGCGCATGGTCTTCCCTGGTGAGATCTAATAGCATCTAAAGCTGCGAGAAAGATTAGAAGTTTTATTCTGTTTACATCTTCCTGTATCTGGACTCACTAACTTTTCCTGGTTTTTTTAAGTGTTTGGATTATTTAAAAACAGCACATACAAGCCAAATCTTGCAGTTCTTACTCAAATTTATGGTGACTTTGGCTGTGAATGGATTCCAGGACCTAGTTTGGTGCTAATTAGCCAATGAACGATGCTGAACAAAGATAGAGAGCAAAGTTTTTAGCAACTTATCCGGTGTAGCGCTTGAACTCAGTCTGCTGAAGAAACAGAGAAAAGATTAACTTCCTGTTCTAGCCAAAAGTCAAAATGAACTCAAGTTCTATTTGGTAAAATTTTGTCCTTCTCCTTTTCAGTGTCCTTCTCCTTTTGCGGTGTCCTTCATGGACTAGGAAGGGTCCCAGTTTAACAAACAAACAAACAAAGAGGAGGGAGGGAAGTGGCTGGTAGAGTTCCCAGCAGTCTCACGAGCTCTTATCCTCTGATGGTTTTTGATAGGCTAGTGATGTTCAGATGGTTCAAATAAGGTTAGATTAAAAACTCCAATTTTGGGGAATATTTAACCATTCTCACATGCCCTTGTTTTGTGCCCATTAGCTTTAGTAGTGCCTGGTTTCTGTGCCTGAAAGATGGTCACTTTCTCCATTGCAGGTCTCGACAGCTACTTCAGACAGGAGCTCATCTACAAGAGGAACGAGAGGATGGGGAAGAGAGTGATGGCGCTTTTAAGGGAGAATGCAGACAAGAGTTTCTTTTTTGCCTTTGGAGCAGGTATGGCATGAAATACTCTGTCTTATTTGAATGTTATGATTTGAAGTAAAATGGGTTGAACACTTCAAGGTTTTACCTCTGGTCCTGCAGAAAGTATTGTTTCGGGGGCCTGCCTTTGAAACAAAAAGCGTTTTCTCCTTTTGTCTGTCTAAAGCTACTTCTAAAGCATAGTGAGTTGGGATAAGAGATGGATCTGAGTCCAGCCAAGCTGGGAATGGGCTGCTGTTCTTTGCTCTCTGACAAATTGTAAAACAAGAAGCTTTTATTATTTCTCATACTATTATGTATGTTCCCTTCGCCACCCCAACCTCTTAGCTTCCAAGGATGTGTCCATGCAACAGTCACATTTGCGACTGTGGGAGGCAGGACATGCTCAAACTGCCTTTAAATTTGCAAGTTTGGGTACTGCTGGCAGAAAGGCTGTAGGAATACAAACCTTCCTATGGACTAAACACTTGTGCATTGCTGAGGCTGGCCTGGGGTCTGAAACCTGGGGTCTGAAACCTTTTGAGGCTGCTGTAATTATACTTTCTTAATGTCTGCCTTAGCTACTTTGGTGGTGTACCTGTACAGAACAGCTGGTTTTGGACTTCCCCAATGACATGAGGTATGCACATGGCTACATACTAGCTTTTTGAATTGTGAAGTAAAAATCTAATGTGTCCATTCATGTGTTTTAATTTTCTCTGCGAGTCTGCAGAAGATGTCTGTAGTATTTCTATAAGTCTGCAACAGTATGTGCTACTATTTTTCTTTTTTTTTTCCTCTCAGTAGAATTCACATTTATCTGCAATAAGAAGATAAATAATAACTGTTAAGGCCCCTGTTCAGCAGAATCCTTGAGCGCTAACTTAAGTGATTCTTCAAGTTCCCTTAACCTGAAGCCAGTCTGTGACTGTCATGCTGAGAATTGATCCGCTTCTCTTGCTCTTCATACTCCCTCTCTTTGGCAATTTCTCATTTTTGACAGAACTTTACTTCTCATCCCATGACTCTAGCAATGAACTCTGGCAACAACTCGCCTTTCACTACTCACTTCAGTGGGAATTTTGATTAAAGACTGCGGGGTTTAGCATAGATAGAAGCATTCTGATGTATTTATTTTTTGAGTGTATCCAGACTGAATTTTCCCAAGCCTATTTAATCTGAAGCTTGCCTGATATTTCTGGATGAGGAGTTTTATTTAACTGTTTTTACAGTAGGAAGATATATCATAGTGGTTCAAATTGGATAGGGATTCATAGAGGCTGAAACTGATGGGTTTAAAAAACAGCTTGTCTAACCCATGTAGCTAGGTCCATCCGAGATCATCAAACATCATGGCTTTGATGTAGTCTCCAGTTTAGGAAGTCCCTAAAGCAGTAATTAGTGGAGCCTGGGAGGAGAGACTGGAAATCATTATGTACTTGCCTTGCTTCTTGCACGCTTCCCTGGACATCCATCACAGGCCACTGCTTGAGACAGGATCTTGGACTAGACAGATTATGGATCCAATCCACTAGGGCTATTTGTATATGCTAATAGCAGGAGTGAAATTAAATAAACATGTACTACGTACACGTTTCTTTCCTTAGAAAGTCATGTCTAAACTGTGGAAGGTTTGGGCTTTTGTTTCGCCTACTCACAACCAAGAACAACCACCTGAAACTTATCCAAACAATTTCACTTGTAAAAAGACTGACTCGTAAAGAGCAGGTCCTGTTTTATCCTTTATTGTCCATTTCTGGCTATGTTGAAAACAGCCTTTGACTGGATTTTTTTTTCCCTTCGGGACTGAATGTAAGAAGAGAGAGCAGGCCCGTGTAGCAGGACTTCGTGAAAATTGGGGTGGGGGAAGATGCTGAAAAGAGCTTTTGTTTGACTTTGGGTGCTTTATTCCAGTATCCCCTTGGCTTTTCTCACTAAAGCAGCCCATCAGGGGGCTGGCCATGCAGGCCATCCCCCCCTTTAAATGCAATTAATTTCTCCTCTGTTCTCTGCACTATTTTTTCTTCATGTAATATGTACTGAGAAAACTTTTAATTTTTCAGTGCCAAAACTTTTATGTGGCTTAAGTGCAAGTGAGTTTTTTCTTTTATCATTTAAATGCAGTTTTTTTCCTGAAGCATAATTGTAGGTGTAGAGTAAAAAAAAATGTTTTTTAAATATATTTGCTATTTCTTGTATTTAGCTCTTGGATTGTAAGATTTGCTTGGTGTGTACATGGGTCATGATTTTAAACTTTTTTCAAAAAATGTGAGTCCTTGAGGTTTTGTTTGTTTGTTTTTACTGAGTGAAGGGTGTTCTTGATGAAAGTTAAGCTTTTCACATACTCTCATGACTTCTGAAGTACAAAGTTTAAGAAATGCACCTTTGATTAGGACAGGCCTGTTTAAAGTCTGTAGTAGCAGTGCGTTGGTCTCAGACTAGTGCAAAAAAATATTTAATTTTATTTGAGATGCTACATATTTAAAACTGACATATGCTAGAGGGGAAATAATTTGAAAAAAATCTTCTGGATAAAGTACCACAAAAGCTGAGAAACTCATCAGTCTTGTTCTTATGCTAAGCTTGATCTCTGTATTAAACCATTTATTTTGAGGCTATCAAAAATAATGAAAAATAATGCTTCCAATGATGCGCGCTCCCTGAAGTGTTATGAAACTGGGAAACCAACTCAGTCTCAATCATAGTTTCAGGGAAGGGAAGAATCGATAAAACTGTGCTAAAGGAAGCTTCCTAAATAGGCTGTAAACTTGGTATGAGGAAAGGCACGCTGGGAAAGCCTCAGCAAATGCATTCTTACGAACTGGGGCAAGCTCCTGGCTGTAAGGGGGTTCCCAAGCCCTGCACCCCATGTGTTTGAACTCAGAGTCACCCTATAACTCGCCGGTGTGACGGGAGCGTAAGGGCTCGGGGACAAGGTCCCACTTGGACAGTGACACTCCAGAGGCAGTGCGCTGCCCACTCCCTGCCTTGGCTTCCGCAAGGGGAAAACTGCACACCAGAGCAAGAATGTGTTAGCTGGTATAATCTGAAACTGCTTTCTCGTTGTTAGATTATTTCTCTTTTGTAACTCTGTTCCCGGTTTTTGCAGTCAATAACTTAACTCTTTGCTAGAATGAAAGCAGCATTATTAGGTTTATCTGGCTTTAACAGTTGTGTTGCAGTTGCTGAATCAAAGTGCTATTGGAGCCAAACCCTGTAGGGTCGTGACTCAGAAACCCCAGGAAACTGGAATATGCTCACCACTGAGGTGCATCGGTCAGCTTGAGATTTTGGTCACGCTGAGCACCAGGAAGAAGGGACAATGATCTCCTTTCACAGAGTCTGTCTGCTAAAGGACAAGTGGATAGTAAGCCTTGAAGGAGGCTGAATTCATGTTGTTACACTACTCCATGTAGCAACTGAAAGTCTGTGGCTTTGTCAGGGCACCATTCTGAGCCCAGTTTAGGATCCTGATGCCATGGGTGGATAGTTCAGTGTTGCATAACATTGGATTGGTATAAGGAGCTTGACTAAGCCAGGAGACACGATGCAGATGTCTTTGCAAATTGCAGTCTGGTTCAATTCATTGAATCCTTGTCAATGACCACGGCAGCAAGTCGTTTTATAGACTCCACCGGGAATAGATACTGTTGTTTAGAACGGGAAAAAAAAACACACAGGGGTCATTGCGACCAAAAGCAGTGGTTTACAGGATGAAAGCCATGCCTGGCCTCAGCTGTAAAACAAGATGATATTATCCTGGCTGTCTATTAGTGCAGAAACTCAGCACTACTGAGCTTGCGGTTAGTGCTGGAAGATTCTAGTGTCTGTCAGCAAAAAGTTTGGTCAGGAAGCGTTGCGGGTTTGGACTGGCAGAAATTCCTGTTGGGTTAAAACATGGTATAGTGTAAGGCTCTATCCAAATGGTAATGAATTTCCTTTACCATCAGAAAAACCATAGCTCCTCAGGCACAGAATGAATCCCTGTCTGGCTGGATGATAGCAAGCGGTTGGTCTGGAGGGCAGGTGGAGGGAGAGGGGGAGACTTCTCCCATCAAATCCAAATAACCTTTGTGTGAGGTTAGAGCCTGAACCCTGATCTCACCAGGTCTGGTGGATCAGGTCACTCAATGGAAATATTCCCACTGGTTTCGGATAGAAAAGGATCAAGCCCAAAGAAATACGTAACAAGTAGAAATCACGGGGAGTTTGGTGCAAAATGCCACTCAGTTGGGTGCAGCTAGGTTCACCCTGGAAAAGGCACTACTGTTTTTTTTGAGGAATAGTTATTTCCCAGTGGAGTTGTGGCAGTCAGATCTGTCGGGTTGATTGGCATATAGCAGGCCATGAATATAGTTGCCTGTACATCTCTCTGTATTTGTTCTCTGGTCATTAAATAATCTGTGTGTAGTATTTCCACTCTTTTTCATCCTGCCTCACTTATAGTTAGGGCTGATTGAAATCTTTCTGCTGATAGATGGTTGGGCAGTGGGGGAAACAGAATTTTTCTGTTTATGTGTGAAAAAGAAAGTCTGTGTTCTGCAGAAACTCTTACTTCCATCAAAACCCCAAAGGGTTTGGATGCTGTTCTCTATAAATTGGGTTTCCCAGTTAAACTGTTCTCATATATGCTGTTCAGCTTTGCTTGGCTGAGCAGCAAAAGCATCGTGATGCATCATGGGAGAGGTAGTTCAGTCAATGTATCTGGTCTGTAACTGTGAATGAGGCTATGAAACATCGAGCAGACAAATCCCAGGGAGGCAGAAGCACTAAAGGGAAAGCTCACTTGAGTGTCTGAGTAAGCTGAGATAAAAACAGTTTTTAGATCCACTAAGTGAAGGTTGTTATTCTGTTGAAAGGTTTTGTTCCCATCACAAGTATTAAAATAAAAAATCTACACATTTCTAAAGTGAGCTTTTCAGTTTTCAGATGTCTTTAAAAAGTAGATTTTTAAATAGATTCCAGACCCTATGCTCCATGGCATTACCCTATGAATGCACTGGAGCACTTCAGACTTTCAATCTGTTCCCTTA